CCAGAACCAGGCCTATAAATGTAAAACCCAGCCTGTAAACCCAGAACCCAGCCGGTAAACCCAGAACCCAGCCGGTAAATCCAGAACCCAGCCGGTAAATCCAGAACCCAGCCGGTAAACCTAGAACCCAGCCTGTAAACCTAGAACCCAGCCTGTAAACCTAGAACCCAGCCTGTAAACCTAGAACCCAGCCTGTAGACCTAAAACCCAGCCTGTAGACCTAAAACCTAGCACGTAAATCTAAAACCCAGCCTGTAAATCTAAAACCTGTACATCTAGAACCCAGCCTGTAAACCCAGAACCCAGCCTGTAAACCCAGAACCCAGCCAGTAAACCCAGAACCCAGCCGGTAAACCTAGAACCCAGCCGGTAAACCCAGAACCCAGCCAGTAAACTCAGAATCCGCCTGTAAATCTAGAACCCGCAAGTAAATCTAGAACCCAGCCTGTAAATCTAAAACCCAGCCTGTAGATCTTGCACCCAGCCTGTAAATCTAGAACCCAGCCTGTAGATCTAAAACCCAGCCAGTAAATCTAAAACCCAGCCTGTATATCTAGAACCTGTACATCTAGCACCCAGCCTGTAAACCTAGCACCCAGCCAGTAGATCTAGAACCGAGTCTGTAGATCTAGAACCTGTAGATCTAGAACCCAGTCTGTAGATCTAGAACCCAGCCTGTAAACGTAGCACCCAGCCTGTAGATCTAGAACCTGTAGCTCTAGAGCCAGGCAGTGAACCAATCAGAACCAGTCTCTCTTGTGGTCGTTCAGAGCACAGTCCCATAGTGACCCGGTTGGGCCCGGTCCATTACCCGGTTCAGCTGGTGCAGCTGTTGCTGCAGCGTCTCGGCCTTCATCTGCTCCAACAGCTCCATCTGCTCCAGTAGCCAAACCTCCCTGCAGCGCAGCGCCTCTTGCTGGCGGCTCACGCAGCTCTGCAGCTCACAGCGAACCTGGAGGACAGACAACAAGCTGAGCTCTGATTGGACGGCGCCATGACAACACAGGAACTAACCGCTCTGAACCTGGACCAGAGGAGAAGCAGAACCCAGGGCCCGGGACCTTACCCTGATCCAGGGGATGAGCGGCACGGCTGCAGGTCCAGCTGGGTCCAAACTCAATCTGAGCCCCTCAGCATGTGGACCGGTCTTATACCAAACCAGGACCAGAACCACGCCCCATACTCCCTCCCTCTGACTCAGCCCGGGATCACGGAGCTTCTGATTCAGCCAGAGGAGGATCAGGCTGTGGTTGTTGTGGCCCGGCAGAACACAGGCCCAGCTGAGCCAGGATCAGCAGAACCAGGACCAGCTGAGCCAGGCTGCCTGCTCTTTGTCACCAGAGGCCTGGAGCCGGCCCGGTTCTGACAGAGCTGCAGTTTGGGTCTATAGGGTGAACTGGGGCAGACACTGACCTCTCTGGCGTTGTCCCTCAGCTGCTGTTCGGCCCGCAGCACGGCGCTGATGGCGTTCTCCAGCTGCTCCTGGGCCTGCTGGCACAGCCCGGACCCGCTCGGCACTGGAGACATCCTGCAAGGAACAAAAACATTAAACGGGTCAGACCACAAACAGTGAGAAAGAGCGGTTCTGACCCACTGGCCAGGCGTCCCTCAGAGGTGCTATGGACCAGAACCGCTCCTAGCCTGACGGTCAAAGCCCTGAGCGGTTCTGCTGGTGGAGCTTTAGAGGATCAGGGTCCAGAACCACAGGACCCCTGACTCACATGTTTGTTCAGACCGCAGCCCTGAGCCGTGGGTCTGGGTGGGATTAGCGGCACCCAGCAGGATCAGCGCAGTCACCGCGGTACGCCACCAGAACCACAGGCTGGGCGGTACCAGCAGGATCTGAGAGGGCGGGGCACACAGATATCAGCTGGAAGAGGCTCAAGGTGCTGATAACAACCCTCTCTATCGCCATGGAGACCAGGCCAACATGGAGGACAGTGCTGGACAGAACCAAGGTCCTCAAGCTCTCGCTGAACCGGTCAAAAGTCCAGAACTATCGACCCGGTTTGTTTACAGGTTCCAACAAATACTGGACTTTAACCTGGCCATCAGGACTGCACTCGGACCTACATCTGACCCAACCCGTTCTGCTGGGACCGGGCCTCCCTAACCCGACCCGTTCCGCTGGGACCGGGCCTCCCTAACCCAACCCGTTCCGCTGGGACCGGGCCTCCCTGAACCCCAGACCGGTCTGAATGTAAGAGTCTGGGGTGGTTCTGCTCACCAGACTTCCAGCCAACCGGTACCAGACCTCTGTATGCTCTGCCACTTTGGATCACAGTGACCGGTTTTCAGAAGGTTCTGAGGTCCAGTATCAGCACCAGACAGAGGAACCCAAACATCTCAGCTGAACTTTGACCCTTCCTCATGGATTAGGGACACGCGTCAGCAGAACATCCAGGCTGAACAAGCAGAACACTCTGTTCCCCTCAGGAACTCCCAGAACCACAGGTCTCAGAGGTCCAGAACCATAGGTTCCAGAACCACAGGTCCCAGAGGTCCAGAACCATAGGTTCCAGAACCACAGGTCCCAGAGGTCCAGAACCATAGGTTCCAGAACCACAGGTCCAAGAGGTCCAGAACCACAGGTCCCATGTTCAGCAGAACTCAAGAGGTCCAATCCCTGAGCAGACAGCTGACCGAGCAGAACCAGCCGGCCAACATCAGCTTCCCTCTCTGATTAGCACATCTATATCAAGTTTTCTACAAACTCCTCCTTAGTGGGTCAGGGGTCCGTTCTGGTGAAACCCAACAGAACCTCTCAGGCCTGAAGCTAAATGAGCTCATGCCCAGAGAACCTAGAACCGAACCAAAGAGGCAGACACTTCCAGCAGGTCTTTCCTCAGACCAGGGCCGGGTCCCTCAGACCAGGACCTGTTCCCTCAGACCAGGACCGGGTCCCTCAGACCAGGACCTGTTCCCTCAGACCAGGACCGGGTCCCATAAACCAACAGCAGCTAACTAACTCACCTCATTTTCCTCTATGATTTTCCTTCTCAGACAAAAACAGCTCCTGCTCGGAACAAATGCTTCCGCTCTCGCGATATCTGAACTGAGCGCTGCCTAAGTCAGAGCCGCCATTACAGGCTGCAGTTCAGCACGTAGACGCCACATAACGGGGAGGGGGAGGGAGGGGGAAGAACAGCCTGGAACAGCCACACAGCAGCGAGGTAAACAAGCCAATAGACAGCAAGGGTGGGGGAGGGGCAGAGACTGGAACAGCCAGGGCTGAGGAGGGAGGCTGCCGCGACCATGGAACAGCCCGCCTGTTCACTGGAAAGATAAAATGTCGGAAGAGGAACCAGCAGCAGTTCCTCTAGATTGCACTTTCCGCCATGTTTACTGTTTCCTCCATAAAATAAACAACGGAAACAAGCTGCTGTGTTTACAGAAAGCCGCACTATGAGCCCGAACCGAACCTCTTCCCGACCGAACAGCACTGCTGACGTCAGAGCTGCTTTGATAACAGCCACTAGTCAAACTATAACCAGAGGTTACTAAACAACTGACCTGTTTACCAGTGACACTGATCTGGATCGGAACCAGAAGAACTGTCTCACTGAACAGGATCGGAACCAGAAATACTGTCCCACTGATCTGGATCGGAACCAGAAGAACTGTCTCACTGAACAGGATCGGAACCAGAAATACTGTCCCATTGATCTGGATCGGAACCAGAAGAACTGCTAGCAGAACTGAAGCCTTTCTTTGACATTCCTCGCTAGCAGCTAGCTGAGCGGCTCACTGATCCACTCACCGCG